GTACTGGACATTGCTGTGTGCTGTGTGTATAATGGTACAGTACTGTACTGGACATTGCTGTGTGCTGTGCCCTACAGGATGAATAACCATGAGGCCTGTGCTTCTATGCTGCTGGATGCTCTGGGCTCTGACATTGTTAACTGCAGTGATGCCAAGGGAAGGTAAGGGAGGTGTCTGAGAAAAATACTGACCGATGAATAAATCAAGTGTTGCCAAAGCACATACAATTAATATTTAATCTACAGCCATTTACAATACAGACACGTCATAAGACATTTACATGCAAACATGTGGAGCATTACTGGGAGACAGGACGCTGTTCCTCAGGCTGGGACAGGAGATCACATGCTGTGCTGTTTCCCCCCTCCCTCTCCCCGCAGGACCCCTCTCCACGCAGCAGCCTTCATGGACCATGTGGACTGCCTGCAGCTGCTGCTGTCCCATGGGGCATCTGGGAACGCCGTGGACCAATCAGGGCGCAGCGCGGTGATGATGGGGGCGGAGCAGGGCAGCGTCGGGGCTGTAGGTACGAGTCCCGCCCTGCTGTGTATTCTACGGCCTGCCTCGATCTGTAACTCCCTCTTTCTGAGTGTTTCGGTCTGGCTCCTCGTGACGCCGTGGTTCTCACTGTCTGGAACTGCCTGACTGTTTCTACATGCTGAGCTGTCCAGCGGTCTCCCGCTGTCACATTCTGCCTGCCTCTCAAACTGTGTCTGACTGCCTGTTTGAGCCTGGGCCGTCAGTCTCACCATCTTTCTTGATGAATTCCCATCGCTGTGTCTCACCAGTGCTGTGTTCGTTGTTGTGTCAAATTGTGTTACAGTGTTGTACCGTTGTTGTTTCAGGGGAGCTGGTAGGAAGTGCAAAGGCCAACCTGAGCCTCACAGACCACAAGAAGAACACAGCGCTTCACCTGGCCTGCAGTAATGTGAGTCACCACCCAGGGGCGCAGTTTTTAATAATGATGATGGCTGTCTCAGTGCAGTTCACTTTCAAGTGCCTCTGCATCATTACCTTCTTGTCTCAGGCACGTTGCTGAGAGAATTACAGACGCTTAAGATCCATTGAGTGACTGCACACACCTGTCACAGCTCGGGCCCAAGGGGCAGGAGCAGTGTGCATTAACCCCTCTGTCTCTCTGTGAAGGGGCAGGAGCAGTGTGCATTAACCCCTCTGTCTCTCCGTGAAGGGGCAGGAGCAGTGTGCATTAACCCCTCTGTCTCTCCGTGAAGGGGCAGGAGCAGTGTGCATTAACCCC